TAAGCAATATCGATCGACGAAAAGTAGAGCTATGGTTTCCTGGAATTGGTGGCAAAGGTTGCTGACAACTAGCATTATTTGAATGCATAACGCAAAACTGTTTATTTCACAGCCTAAAAAAGGACAAAATCCTGCAATCATTTTTATATTACGTGAAGAACACCTTTAGGGAGAATATATTTTTAGACGAATTAAACAAAATGATCCTTTTCTGTGAAGCATTCGGTTATCTTTTGGCTATCATTGTAAACTAGGCCTCTGTGCCATGACACAGGCAACCCAGTGAATGCCTATATAGGGCATCTTGTTTATTCAAGTGCTGTAATATCAAAGTCATTCAATGCACACGCTTTACTTAACATTAATTAATTAATCAATTAGTTATTTCGACAAGTTGTTTTTCAGTCGAAGAACATTCTAGAAAAAATACTAGACTTTACTCAAGGTCAMCAACAATTGAACTAATTAATTAATATGGTGAGAAAGATCAGTTTATGTAAACTATGTAAACATGCAGATTTTTTTTGTTGATTCTTGTTTAGTTTTCGTTGTTCAGTTTTTCAATTGACTATTAAAGTTTATTATTGAGTGTCTTCTTTCCTGCAGTAATAAATAATTCGAGCATATATTATATTTGGTAACGTAAACTCTTGGCAAGACATTTCAKTCCAATGATTTCTTGAAAATTTCATTGTCATATGCGTACCACGTGACCATACAAACAAAGATTTACGTAGTTATGAAAAATTAATTTGGCCGACGATACGCTATACGCATATCATTTTGACCTCTTTACCCATCACCCTGTTCCATAATGAATAGTCCCTAAACTGCAAGACAGTGATGAGATAGAGCGCATGCAGTAAACTGAACCATGAAATAAAAMCGAAGTTGATACTGACAAATAGTAGATACTTAGTGACTAACAGTTGCTATCACTCAACCAGAACATTTATTAAACAAAAGACAAATGGTCTCTTGTGTATTTGTCTTTGTGTAATGAATGTTCTGGTTGATTGATAGCAACTATTAGTCACTAAATAGCTACTATTTATGCTACTATCAACTTCGTTTTTATTTCATGGACAAATAGTAGATACTTAGTGACTAACAGTTGCTATCACTCAACCAGAACATTTATTAAACAAAAGACAAATGGTCTCTTGTGTAATTTTCTTTCTATGTTCTGGTTGGGTGACAGCAACTATTAGTCACTAAATAGCTACTATTTATGCTACTATCAACTTCGTTTTTATTTCATGGTTTTACTGCATGCGCTCTATCATGATAAGACATCACCTTTCATCTTTCTTTTTCCTCAAACGTAATTTCTGTCCAAAGAATTTTCTGCATCATTTACTCTTAAGCTATACGAAGCATATTACAAAAAATTTGTGTTGAATATGACATGCGTGGTTCCAAAACCAGGTTTTAACCATTCTCATACCCARAGCCTGYGTTTGTTCTGGTCTGCGGCGTAGAACTTGGGCTCTAGCATAATCCATTTTTGGCGCATGCGCAATTAACCCGCTTTACTAGCTTTGATTCAAGATTCATTGGTTGTAACTTTAACATCAAGCAAGAGATCATGGTCTCTTGTATCATGGAACCTCCGCTAGCAGAGTAATTAATTTCTTAATCACATAAGGATCAAGCACTGGATTACTTAATAATATTTACAATAGCTGAATAAAATCCAACTTAATAAAAAATTATCCCGACAATATAATATTAGCGATGACTTTATATAAAACTGGCGTACTTTATCCCTAGCAACGAACAAGCACCTGTAATATTTAGGCCCTTGATTATCTAGGGTCACGAATGCTTGGGGCATGATCGATCAGGGACATTATTAAACAGGTCCCAGGGCCCAGTTGTTCAAAGCCCGATTAGTGCTAATCCTGGGTTAACTCTTAATATTTACCTATAGAGTTAATCCTGGATTAGCGCTAATCCAGCTTTGAACAACCCGGCCCAGGCTTCTCATTAGTCAMGAGTATCAGGAGGGTTCGACATGACGTAAACCATTTTGCCCTTAACCGACAGCCAGACATTTGCTGTTGCTCTTTTGAATGGGACCCTAGCATGGTTGGTGTAGAGCAATGCAAGACATAAGTGAAATGACCAGTTGAAGCGGTTTTTGAACTTCCACTCTAACTGGAAGTAAAGTAATAAAAGGAACAAATTTGCGAAGTTCACGCCACTTTCCTGTATCTATTTGTCAATACAAGCCATACCTCTTGAATATTAAAACCATAAATTTGGTTATTAGTATTACTGAGGACTATTTTTCCCTACGCGAAAAGGAGTTGGATATTCTTTCCAATATTTATTCTGATGTCTTTCATTGCCATCATAAATGTTCCTTAGAAATTCTCATTTCCAAAGAAAGTAAAACCACTAGGATTCCCATGATTTTGTCACTTGACTCAGTTGCCGGGAAAGTCAAATTAAATGTGCCTATATATGTATAATATATATATCAAAGTACAATATTCTTGAATGATTCTTCAGCAATGCTTTCCACCATGGGTTCAAAATCAAATCCCGCGGGACATCGTTCGTAGTATAACATGTACGGGTTACGCGCTAAGACTTCTTCTAAAGTTATAGTATCAACGAAGGAGTCAGAGGTGTACAGCCAAACCCCAGGCTTTGAGCTGTTAGGAGGTTCAAATCTACGATAGGTGACGTAATGACCATCACTGACGTCACCAAGATGGRTGGTGACAGCTGTCAATCTATAAACTGTACGTGTCCTGAGAGAACAAAAATGGGAAATAGAAGTAGTGAGAATAAAAACGGGAAACAACTCAGTGATTGGCACAAAGGACATTTGAGAAAGTAATTTGAAGTAATAATGGTGTACCAAGAAGTGTCAGTTGCAAACGCCTTTTCTGTATGTTATGCCATAGAACCAATCGGCTAACGTGTTGCTAACGTGTTACCACCCAATTCAAACCTTYTGGGAATAGAAGCGTTTGTCTCTACGAATTCAACTCTGAAACCAAAATATGACAAACAATGAAACTTATTCCCAGAAGGTTTGAATTGGGTGGTAACGTACATAGCAACACGTTAGCCGATTAGGTCTATTGGTCAGAAAATCGGATTTCTCAATGGCGAGCGCTTCCCTCACCTCAAGGTCCTGTCATCTCTGCTCAGTGACCTACTGTGTTGTGTACAGCTTACCTTGTCTCAGAGTTCTGCCTGCTGAAAGAGAACGACGACAAAATACTACTACTCATCAAGCTACTCAGATCTGCTTTCAGGTCGTTCGTTGGAGTTCTGCATCCTTCTGGTGTACTAGCTCCAGAATATGAGAAGCTTGACAACCTTAATCTTCGCGGGCTTTGGGTACCGGGCATGTACATAAAAGGCGCCAGATTTAGGAACTCAGGGTATTTAACTTGGGCATGGTTTTTGTAGGGAATGCCGTCAGAGTGCCAGTATGTTCGCTGTATGTGAATACAAAGACACTGGGGGACCTAGAAAAGACCAAAAAACTCGTATAAAAGTTTCATACACCTGTGTCCTTCTATTCTCTTCTGTCCTTCCTTCTCTCATTCTTTCTTCAATGCTTCCTTTCTTCTAAATCGCCTCTTCCATCAAAGACTCTCTCTTCCTTTCTTGCTTTCTTGCTTTCTTTCTTCCTTCTTTCCTTCCTTCCTTTCTTCCTTCCTGCCTTCCTTTCTTTCTCTCTCCCGTTCTTTTTCTAAATTTTATTCTGTATGTATCTACGCACAAATACTCTATATCTTTTTTTTTGGGAGGGGGGGGGGGCGTGGCTAGAAGGCGTTTAAAGGGCCACTCAACAACGCATGCAAGATAACATATGAACCTAACTCTACCTCTAAAAAATCAATAATTTAAGAAATCGGTCAATTGAAAAAAACAATGGTTCAAGGTTTTATGCCTTACTTTGCCAAGCGTGAGGCGCTTTACAAACATTGATTTTGTGTCCTGATGTTTAGAATCGCTTGCATCTTGTGAGCATCCTTTACACTTTACGGAATCCACCGTCTCTGAACACACAAACTGTCGAAGCAGATCTTCCAGGGTAAAATTAATCTAGCAAGGTAAGAGGTCATAAGATTAGTGAAGTGGCAGAAAATATGGTACGTTTGAGAGTAAGAGCCAGCTTTCGTTTTGCTAAAGTTTGAAACATAAGGTACATAG